AGCAAGATAGTATACTATGATATTTACTTTAGCAGCCAGTAGAGAAGAGATGGGTTATCCTTTGGCTCCTTATAGTGTAGCCGTGATCCTCCACCCCCCCTATCCACGTTTTAGAAAGGATGGAAAGAAGGTAAGACTCTTACTGGGGACGAGAGGATTGTTAGTTGGATCTAGAAAGCTGTGAGGCTGTGGGAGGTCAGCTTCTAAGGTAGGGGTTGGACTAAAGATTAGTATATAGGAGTAGTGAGTAACAGAATAGAGACAACCCCCCACAATAGTATAGTTCAGAAAATTGCAAAGTGGGCTGAGATCAGGTAGGGGTATTGAGAAGCATTTACAATTGTATAGACTAGGTCTTACTAGCAGTAATAGTAAAGTGACAGTCTTGTGGCAGAATCGATGAGGTCTAGATAACAAGAATAAAGAGTATAGAACCTTGAGAAGTGTATTAATAGAACGCAGATGAAGGATAGTAATTTATCAATATCTTGTGACTGAGATACCAGGGGAAACCTATCAAATGACAGTATAACCAGCCAAGCAAAGAAGATTATACAGAAAGAGAAAGAGTACCAAAATATTATTAAAATAAAAAATGTCGTAAAAAGTGAGAAAAAGATAATACAAATTTACAGAAACTTGCAAGATTAAAACAAAAAGGAAAGAAAAGCAGAAGATGTGGTGCAGGAGAGCTAAATTTGGAGTGGAAAGAATAATATTAGGTTGAATGGAAGAGAAACGTAAGGGATTGCGATATAAAAAATAATGAGAATTGAAAAAAAAGTCACATAAAACACAAGATAAAATCAGTCAACCAACAACAGCCAGAGAAACCAATAAAAACCAAACAAAACCAAAAAAACTAACAAACCAACAAACAACAAACAAACAAAAAACCTCTTGTTGGTTTCTAACTGGCCAGACCAGTTTTTCTGATCTTGCTAGCTTCAGCTGGCTGAGGGGCCTTTGAAATGCTTCTCTCTCTCACAACCAGAACTCAGCAAGTCTGTCAGGTACCCCGGGGCGCTCCAAGACACACTGGTGCGAGAGAGTGTCTTCCCGATGAAGGTGCGGGAGCCCAGCGGTTTCCAGCTCCGTGTTCCCCGCCAAATGGCTCTCCGACGGAATGTTGGCGCCTTTCCCGGCTCTCCGGTCGGGCTGGCTGGAAATCTCTGGGCCACCACTGAAGGAACGCGCCAAGCCCCTCGTCCCTCCTGGGATTGCAGCGCGCAATTCCTGCCTCCCTATGGGGCGCGAGCCGAGCGCGGCCGGCTTGTGCTCACTACCGCTCTGCACTTCCAACGGGCTAAAGATGCCCCTGGTCCTGTTGGCTAGAGGCTCTCACTTCTCGGCCTCTGGGCGGGATTTTATATTCCCTGGGCGATTTTTTTCTCAGTCCAACTGGCCAATCTGCTCCTTCTAGCAACCCGTTCTCCCCTGGAGTTGCTTACCCCCGTATTCGGGGGAGGGAGGGAGCAGCAACTTCCCTCTCCCGGGATCCCTGGGGCAGAGCCCGGAGCACCGGGCGGGCCTGGGGTCTGCGCGCTCCAGAGCCCGCGCTGATTCTTGGGCCCCTTTTGTCCTGTATCCGCCTTCTTACCGTCTGGTTTTCCAATAATTTCTGATGTCCTGCTTTCAAAAGTGATTCGGCAACCCAGCCCACTTGCTCTGCCTCTCCACCGATCCGCGAGTTTCCCCCCTCTTCACAGAAGCCGAGAAAAACGCTGCCTACAGTAAGGCCGCCATCTTCCTCCCGCCTCGCAAAACCATTTTAACAGCTGAAATTTAGAAACTGTTTGGTATAATTATTAACCACACAATTATTCTACACATCTAAGTTTATGAAGTAGCAAATACACAGATCAACTATTCACCTATATGGTCAAAAATTACTACTCCTCATCCCAATGTCATTTTTTAAAAGATTTTATTTCTTTATTTTCAGGGAGAGGGGGAGGGGGGTAGGAAGGAAGGGAGAGAAACATTAGTTGGTTGCCTTTCTCACACTCCCCAACCAGGGACCTGGGCTACAACCCAGGCAAGTGTCCTGACTGGGAATCAAACTAGCAACCTTTTAGTTCACAGGCCAACCCTCAATTTACTGAGCCACACCAGCCAGGGCCCAATGTCATTTTTTGCAGAACTAGAAAAACCCACCCTAAAATTTATATGGAATAGCCCAACAGCCAAATAGCCAAAACAATCTTGAGAAAGAAGAAAGATGATTTCAAAACTTACTGCAAAGCTACATTACCAAAACAGTGTGACAGTGGCACAAAGAGACAGAGAGACCAACAGAACAGAGTGCCCAGAAGTAACGTTTAAATAATTCTTGACAAGGGTGCTAAGACCATTCAAAGGGAGAAAGGCCCATCTTTGCAACAAATAGGTGAAAACTGGATAGCCATATGCAAAAGAGTGAAGTTGGAGCCTTACCTAACACCACATACAAAAATTAACTCAAAATGGATCAAAGACTTAAATGTAAGACCTAAAACTATAAAACTCTTAGAAGGCAATATAAGGCAAAAACTTCATGACATTAAATTTAGCAATAATTTCTTTCTTTCTTTTTTTTTTATTTCTTAAATATGACACCAAAGGTAGAGGCAACAAAAAAAATAAGTAAAAAACTGGACTTCATAAAAATTTTTAAATTTTATGCATCAAAAGACACTATTAGCAGAGTAAAAAGGCAAGCCATAGAACAGGAGAAAATATTTGCAAATTATGTATCTGATAAGGGATTAATGTCTAGAAACATACAGAACTTCTAAAACTCAACAACACCAAAAACCAAACCACTGAATTAAAAAATGGACAAAGGACTTGAAGACACGTTTTTCCAGAGCAAACAGACAAATATCTAAGAAGCACCTGAAAAGATACCAACATTACTAATCATTAGAGAAATGTGAATAAAAACTAAAATGAGATACCCACCTACTCACACCCATTAGGATCACTACTATCACAAACAAACCAAAACAGAAAAATAAAAAGTTTTGGCAAGGATGTGAATAAATTGGAACCCTTGAGCACTGTTAGAAGGAATGTACCACTGCATGGAAAACAGTATGGCCATCACTCAAAAAATTAAAAATAGAATTACTATATGATCTAGCAATTCCACTTCTGGGTATATACCCAAAAGACTGAAAGCAGGGTCTCAAAGAAATATTTGTAGCTCATGTTCACAGCAGCATTATTCACAACGGCTAAAGTGTGGAAGCAACCCCAGTTTACTTATCCAACAGATGAATGGATAAGTAAAATGTGGCATATATACACAATGGAACATTATTCAGCCTTATAAAGAAAATGTGGCATATATACACAATGGAACATTATTCAGCCTTATATTGACATGTGACAATATGGATGAATCAGTAATAGAAACCAGTAACAGAAAGACAAATACTGTATATTAAGTACCTAAAGTAGTCAAAATCAGAGACAGAAGATAGAATGATAGTTGACAGGCATTGGGGGTAACAGGGAAAGGGGAAGCTACTGTTTAAAGGGGTATACAGTTTCAGTTTTACAAAATGAAAGGAGTTCTGGAATGGGACAGTGGTGATGGTAGCACATTATGAATGTAATTTATACCACTAAACTGTACACTTAAAAATGGTATAGATGGTAAATTTTATGTAATATGTGTTTTACCATAGTTAAAAAAAAAAACTTGGGAGAAAAAAGCTACTTTTGCTCTCATTAGAAACTTAATTATGAAAACATGGATGGACCTTGAGGGTATGATAAGTATAATAGATCTCACTTACATGTGGAATCTAAAGAAACTGGAAAAATCCAAGCTCACTGATACAAATAAGAGACTGGAGGTGAAAGGTTGGGGATTGGGCAAAATGAGTGAAGGGATAAAACAGTAGGAACTTCCAGCTATAAAATAAGTAAGTCATGACATGTAATATACAGCATGGTGACTATAGTTAATGATATTGTACTGCATATTTGAAAGTTGCTAAGAGGGCAGATCTTGAAAGTTCTCATCATGAGAAAAAACTAACTATGTAGGGCAACAGATATTAATTAGACTTACTGTGATCCTTTCACAGTATATACAAATACTGATCATTGTTGTACATCTGAAACTAATCATATGCCATTTCTACCTCAATTTAAAAAAAGAGTATTTACTGATCTAGAAAATGTCCTTTATGTAATGTTAGTGGGGGCAGCATACAGCACACGTAGTATATGCTAATTATGTAAAATGTTTACATGTATATATAGGATGAAAATGAGTGGAAATATACAAAAAGGTAATAACAGTTTTCTCTGGGTGATAAAATAATGTATTATTTTAACTTTATTCTTTACACACTTCTGAATTTTCTATTTTTTTTGCAGTGAACCCAGGCCCAACACCAAACATTAATGCTTCTTTCAAAGATTCCATTGCTAAGAAAAAAAAATGAAACAAAACTTTGAGGATATCAAAATAATAAAATTGTTTCAAGTTTTATACAGTACTTTTGTTTTCAAAGCAAATTACTCAGGATGTTTTAAAACAGCCTTCTGAAAAACAAGTGTTTAAAAAAATAAGCATTAGGCTAAGATTAGGATTATTAAACCTATATCAACCAGCCAGAAAACAGCTGACATATAAAATATCATTATGTGGAATATTAACGTATATTCTTACAAAATCAATGAACACTTTCCAAATCAAATTCTCCTAAGTTAATATTAAAGTTCAATTATTTCACTATAACTTAACAAAAAATTAACATTGTCAATGTCTTCCAATTTTGAATGTGCACATCTGAAATACATCAACTCGTCTTTTAACTAACAACCTCCAATGTATTTGAATCTAACTATATTTGAGACATCCTACTGCCCTAACAACATACAAATATTTCTTTTGAAGAAGGGAAACAAAGAAAGAGATACAGAAAATGCTTTTAAGTTCTACATTTATAAACTGCACAAGAAAAGTGTTCAAAAATTGTCTTGAGGGTTTTGACACATACCAGGCTCCAATTTGATAATTTTTACTGCAGCCAACTCTCCCGTATGTATATTTCTGGCCTAAAATGAAAATGAAAATAAAATGCTTTAAAAGTTTGTTAACTATATAAAAGTTACTTGGTATTATGTTAATTTGTTGCTTATCAATCATGCTTTTTAAAAAAGCTAAAAAACAAAATTTCGAAGAGTATATTATTCGTTTTTTCATTAAAGAAAAATATACAAATGATACATATACAAAATATTACCTTTAGTCCCACCACTTAAAAACAGTTCTGTTGAAAATGTTGGTGTACTTCTTCCAAGTCTTTTTTTTTATACCTGAGTTAATATTTTTCTAAATTAAAACATATTCATGAGGAACTAGACTGCAGGTACTAAGCATGCAACAGAATATACTGATGTCAAATTATAATGTTGTACACCTGAAATTTACATATTATTATTAACCAATATGCAACAGCATAGGGATCTGGGCTCAGGATCCCAAGGACACCAGACCAAAAAATCCCACAGAGCTGGCATTACCCCATGACCCCTCACTGAAATCCAAAGGTTGTCTGATGGCCAGAAAAAAACACAGTTAGGCCCACAAGAATGCAACCACTCCTCCAATGCCTAGGAAAAATGTCTTAACTCCCTTCTAATCTCTTGCTTTTTGCATCCTGACAGAAAAATTTCCAAGCCCGCTTTTTTCAAAAACCTGCCTTTTTACACAAGTCTGCTTTGCCCACAGCTTATAAAATGGTGCATTTACACAATGGAATTCTATGCAGCAGAAAGAAGGAAGGAACTCCTACCCTTTGTAACAGCATGGATGGAACTGGAAGGCATTATGCTAAGCAAAATAAGCCAGGTGGTGAAAGACAAATACCATATTATCTCACCTTTAACAGGAATCTAATCAATAAAACAAACAAACAAGCAAAATATAACCAAAGACACTGAAATTGAGAACAGGCTGACAGTGACCAGAGGGGAGAGGGGAGGGAATTTCAGGGGAAAAGGGGAAGGGTTTGCAGGAACAACTATAAAGGATACATGGACAATAACAAAGGTGGGGTAGAAAGGAGAGGGAGGTGGCGAGGGCTGGGATGGAGGTAAAAGGCAGAAAACTGTACTTGAACAACAATTAAAATTTAAAAATAATAATAAAAATAAGAATAGAAAAAAAAGTACTTACAATACTCCATAAGAATATTGAAGCAATCCCAGACAAAAAAATCCTCAAAGAATATATATATATAATAGCTAAGCAGAGCCAGTCCCTGAGCAAGCTTACAGAACCTTCCTTTCCTCTGTGCTGCATCTCTTATGCTTGAGCATAACCTAATAAAATCTGTCTGGAACTTCTCTGGGATTTTCTCATTTCTATCTTGGGGAACTCAAGAACCTCAGTGCCAATAACAAATGTTACTTCAATAAATTTAACTTTTAAAAACATCGCGGACAAAATACTCATGGTTGTCATATATTTAATAAATATAGTCATAGGTTATTGAAGGAAAATTTTTAATAAATCATCTGTATCTTTTGATCTGGAGGAAAAAAGTTTAAAACGTTAACATTTGGTATATGTGTTTTCTTTTTGTGGCCCATCTGTGCGTGCATGAGTACATGTGTTCATGAGAGTATGTATGTGTTATAGAAGAGGATGATGTCAACACAGTCTTCTACAACAGGGGTCTCCAACCCATTAGGAACCAGGCCACAGAGCAGGAGGTGAGCCTGAATGTAATGCACTTCAATCATCCTGAAACCATTCCTCCCCTGCCACCGGTCCATGTAAAAATTGTTTTCCACAAAACTCATCCCTGGTGCCAAAAATGTTGGGGACCACTGTTCTACAACATGCTTTGCAATGCTGCCTAATTTTCCACTGATAGAACATGTAATTTACTTAATTAATCTCTTATTGTGGATAGTTAGGATTTTAATATTATTTTGTAAGTATAAATAGAGATAAATGTATGTTATTTATATCTATCCACAGCTTTATTTACTTTAGATAAATTCCTTAAAAAAACCTATTTACACTTAAAATATTATAGACAGACTTACTATAATTAGTGTTGCAATAATTATCACCGTAAATATTTTAGCACATATTAGTTTATTAGTAAAGCAACCTCCAAGAATGGTCAGGTCAAAAAGGTATGTGGATTTAAAATGGATATATTACCATGTTGCTCCAAAATAAATTATGTAAATTTATATTTTCACCAACCTTGGGGATTAAATCTATATCTGTCAAGTTCTATTGAATGTACAAATATTTATTGTTTTTAAAATTACATATTTTCTTCATGCTATATATAATTTTAAATGGCTATATAATAGTCCATAAATCATTCTCCTTTAATGCTAGACATTAAAGATGTTAACTCAGTCTTTTCATTTTTTAAGATAATTTTTAAATATATTCTAAAGTATGAAATTACTAGGTCAAAGGGTATGAATATGCACATTTAAAGCCATTAACACACACTGCCTACACACCTTAAAAGGGCTGTACCAGTATACTGGCATTGCTAATATGGGTGCTCATTTTCATTGCACCCATGGCACTCCGTATGTGGAAATTCAATTTAATAATTTACAACATCTTTGACTTACTAGATTTGAATGTGAACTTTCATACTTGGCATAAAAAATAAGGAGTGCATGATAAAACAGGAAAGTATGATCACTAATTTGCTGGATTAAATAAATAAGTCATTTTACCAGAGGAAACAGTTGAAGAATTAGAAGAATGACAAAGAATGTGGGGAAGACGGCCTTACAAGGCATACTTTTAGAAATGACATACAGAGGTTGAGAGAAAAATAGAATGGGGGAGAGAACCACAGAGGTACAGTCACAAACGGGAAGAAGAAAAAAAAAGGACTGTTCTACAACAGAAGTCTCAAATATTTTGTGATGCGATATTCACCTTTTCCTCATCTGTTGTGGTAAACAGGGGAAGGTGGCGTCTCATCAAGAGAGAACAGACATTTCAGTAACCTCCACCCAGAGTTACCCCTTCCCCAATCACTAACACAAATAGAGACTGGACTGGTCAGCCAAAACCTCACACTACTGTTACTGTCTCCTCTTTCTTGACTTTGGACAAAAAAATTGTCTGTTAGCTTTGGGTCTAAAATCTCTCAGCATTTCAATCTCTCTTGGGTTATAGAAAGTTATGTACATACAGACTTAGGCAGTCAATTGCCACACTTCACATGTCAGTTGAGATTCAGGTACAGAAAATATGACCAGAAGTTATAGAATAAGTAATAACATTGACCTTCTGGGAATTTTGTTTAGTGGGCAATAAGACGTGAATTCTGTAACAATGATGTCAATTATATTTGTAAACTTTTATAGTTTGGGGGAACTTTCATATTCAGTACTTACGTTGATTTAAAGCATAAAGATTTAGCTTAGTAAAGTTAAGTGACTTACCCAAGGCCATCTGCTGACATGGACAAGAGTCACAGTCAGAACCCAAGAACTGTATTCTGATGTCAAGGTTTCACTGCTCTTTTCAATATACTAGAATTCTCTTTTCCTTTTTTAAATGCAATAGGCTCATGTGGACATGAGCTAGTTGAGGACTCATTCAAGTTACCATGTGCAATGAGCCTACAAATTGTTATTCCATCTCCTAATCATCTCTGGAATCCATCTCCTCTACTCCTCCATTGCTGGTTTTAGTAAAGTTTTTTCTTTAAATAAATCCAACAGGTACTAAAGAAAAGTATTAATTGAATAATATTTAATAGATCTCATGGGTGACTTCTGTTGAATAATTTACCAAGTAATGCACTAATTATCTTTTACATTAAACTAAGTTATTTTCTATGATGATTTCTGATGTAATAGAATGTGAACTCTTACACACTTAAAGTCTTCAAGAAATAATTTCAGAGTTGATCATATTTACTTCAATCCCTAAATATCAGTACATTTCCTGGTTTTCCCTCTTTCCCATCCCCTAAAAGTAACATTTTTAAAAATTTCCATTAGAATTCTAAAAAAAAAAAAAAAAACCCAAAATAGAGAAGCACCTATGGACATAGAGTGGAAATTTATATATTGGGAAGAAAGGTTTAAGTATGAGAGACACGATGGCACAAGAAAGTAACATATATATACACTCACAAATAGAGCCATTTGAACCATTCAAGGTTCTAACATCCAGGGAAGGAATGGAATAATTAACTCATGAGACAGTAACAGTCGCTGACACATTTCCAACAACAAAATATCTTCAGCTTATTCATTACTTCTGTTTTCCAAGCAAAACAGGCATTAGGGCAATACACTCTTCCAGTCACTGGAAACCAAAAAAAAATATGAGTCTATGCTTTGCAATTACAGATTATTAAACAAGTGCCAACAACATGAAAAGATCTTATATACTTCTAGGAGAGTTTGGAACAATTAATTCCAGTTTCAGTCAGATTAATCAGAAGCAAATGACTTGATCTCTAGTTTGAAAAAAACTGTCCTCATTCTGGTATATTCACCTTCCCCTGCCCTCCTTCCTGCCCCCTTAGCCCAGTTAATCTGGACTGTCCTTCAGATTGCAATTTGGTGTCACCTCCTCCAGGGAGTCTTGCCTAATATCTCAAGGCTAGAATTGTGTTCTCTTCTTAGCTCTGGGTGTGATTCTTTGAAGATCTGTGAGGTACAGCACTATAAATTTGTTGAACGGACAATTATGATTATAGGAAAGTTATTACTTTTTGCTTACAAAATAAGAATATTAAAATCATCTACAACTCAAAAGTGTTATGAAACTGATAATATACTGTTTTAAATGATCTACTTAGTTTTATGCTGGTTGATTCATATTCAATTTTTATTGCTAAGAAGTAAATAAAACATTTTGGAGAAAAAAATTACTACAAAACATTGTTTTAAAAAATTCAAACAATATAAGTGAAAGATGACAGAACCCCTCCTCCTAACCTCATCCCTCTGAAGTAACTCCTGTGAATAATTTAGAGGAGATCCATCCACACTTAATTAAACTGATTCCTAAGAACACATATACTGACGGTTTAACAGCTTCT